CCAACCACATGAAGTCCGAGATGAAGTCAAAATGGTGCGTGTACTTCCGCACGGCGTCCTCCTTCCGCGGATCCCAGAGCTACGCATGTCGTCGCGCGCACGTCAAACCTACTCCGGAGGGGCAGAGTAGCGTTTACACGGACCTTGATTACGCCGTCATCGTCCCCCGAAGCCAGCAAGTTTGGGAGGAGCCGTCTCATCCGGTTGATGGGTGCGCTTGCAAACCCTGTCGACGTCGGCGACATGCACGTGCGTCCACGAACGCGTATGGGACTTACTCGTGTGCCCCAGCCCGTGTCTCGACGACCTCTCCTGTTCCGATGTCGATCGTACTGTCCCCAATGAACGTTGAGCAGCACGTCCAGGCATTCACGCGCGTGATGATAGTCAGACGCGGGGGAAGGAGACGTACTGGATGGCCTTTGCCTTGCCCCCGGTCCATACGCGGGCACCGTCATCGCTCATGGCGAGTGTCCTGCACGATCGCTTCGATGGTCGCACAGCGAACTTCTCTTCATGATTTCCCTGTTCGTCGTAGCTGAATGCCTTCACGTGTCCTGTCAGGAGTCCAGTGATAACGAGAGGCTGGTCTGCATGAAAAGCGAGATCGAATATCTGGGCACCGACTGGTATGTCGGGCATGATGGTGGTGGCTGAGCGAAGAGGATCAAAAAGTCCAACTGTGGGACGGTCCGGGCTCGGGAAGCGGCCCGATGCGCAAACAACCAGCGCTTGAGTAGTCTCCACATTGTTAGTGCTCTTCTTGATGTCCTAGCATCACGCAAGGAGTATCTAGATCATATACAGCGATGGAAACCATGAGGGTTCAAGTACATTATGGTGACAGAATTTCGGCCAGTTCCCAGATGACAGCACAGCAATGCGATACAGATACAGTACTTAGTAGTATGACGAATAAACAACTCAGCTAGATGTGGGGATGCGAGGCAACAGTGCGTATGTGGGTGTAGTTGAGCAAGCGGCATGACGGATGAGTGTACAGGCGCAAGGGACGGTGCGGCGGGAGTGGCACTGGGGCGGGAGAATTCCGCGCAGTAACTACTCACGAAGGTCGTAGTACGCGCGGAACATAGACTCGGTACGCAAAGTCGAGGTGGAGATGACGCCGTGCACGTGGAGGAACAGACGGGGGAAGCGGCGCGTGAAGTAGCCCAAAAACCCCTCCGGCATCGAGCCCAGCAGCCGCTTCACGTTGTCCGGAAGGTCCTGGTAGTGATGTTTCTGCGTCCACAATATACGGTTAGAAGCCGAACGCAGGCATAGACCAAGGCATATGCTAGCAACTTGCCTTGTTTCGCAGAGCGCGAAGCAGATCCTGCACCGACTTCCCGTCATACTTGCGGAACTTGCCCAAATTGTCGATGAAGAGCTTGTCGAGCCGCGAATGCCAGTCCGCACCGACGACATCGAACGCGCCAGTCTCGAGCGCGGCCAGGTTTGGGTCCTTCGGGTCCCGACACATGATCTCAAACCGGTCCGACGCGTCTTGCAGGAACGTGAGCCGCTTGCCCGGGTCCCAGAAATACGGGTGTAGTAAGCATGTACTTGTGTCTGGCCTGCATGTCCACCCAAATTAGCCAATCCGAACAACACAGAGACGACACACAGCGCATTCAATTCACGCACCTGCCATATGCTTCCGGGCTCAACATCTTGGTGATGAGGTCCACACCCTCCGCGCCCTCCTCCCCGAACCGCTGCAGCCCCTCCAGCGACTTTGCGTTCTTCAGGATGTTGAACTCCCTCTCGAACCGGTCCCCGAACGGGTGCAGCCCGTTCGTCAGCACATAATAGTACAAGCACCCCAACGCGAAGATGTCCACCGACTTCGTGAGCCTCGTCGGCTTGCCCGTTGGCGTCCCCTTTCCTCCCGAGCCCGAAGAGCCGACGCCCACACTCCCTCTTGATGACTGCGACTCGTCGCCCGCGTCGTCCAACTTCACTTCACCCCTCAGGATCTCCGGCGCTCGCCAGCCGACCGTGCCTGCCGCCATAGATCCATGGGCAGTCGGGAGGAAGCTCGTCTGGTCGAACTCGAGCTTCTTGCATAGCCCGAAGTCCGAGATCAGCATCCGGTGGCCCGCGTTCTCGCCCACGCCCTTCTTCGCGTCGGAAACAAGTATGTTCTGGGGCTTGATGTCGCGATGGATGATTTTGAGCGCGTGCAGGTGGCGGAGGCCCGCAGTGATCTGCCGTAAGGCACGTTTGGGCTCGAAAGCGACGACGATGTCGCGGAACTGGTCAGGGCGCTCGATGATGTTTGCGAGCGAGGCAGGGCAGAGCTCGAGCGCGATGTATAGGAAGTTGGCATGGGCCTCTTGGTAGTAGTACCGGATGACGTTTGGGTGGTCGTCCGACTCCTGAAGGACATTGACTTCGCGCGAGGCAAGTGTTACAAAATCTGCGAGCATGCGCTTGACAGCTACTGCGCGGCCCTGCAGAGAGCCCTTGAATACCACTGTTCCATGCGAGCCCATACCTGTTCAAGAGATGATGTAAGCGTTGTGCGCAGTCACTACTAAAACGACCATACCTAAGACTTGGTCCGACACAACCAAAGTCTGGACTGCCGGTACTGTAGGGGTAGATGGTGCAAAGACGATCGATGGTGGTGCCTCTCTCGGTGTCGCTTGAGCACTCGGCGGAGGACTGATGACTGCTTCAACCTCATCAGCAGGCAGCGCGATGGTGACTGGACCCTTCTTCTTCTTCCCTCGTTTCCGTCTGATACCCTTGCGCTTTCCTGGCGTGTCAGTCGCATCGCCCTCCCTCTCGGAGTCGTCAAGGTCCGCAGGATCGTTTGCACCATCCACAACGGGCTCCAGCGCTCCCAGAGCGAACACTACCTTCTTCGCTGCTGGAGGATCGGCAGGAACTGAGATAGCTTCAGGAGGCGCCTCGATGTGGCCGTTTGCAGTCTTTTCCGAAAGCTGTTCGGGATCGTCCGGCACGGGTTTCGTGGCTGTCTCACTGACAACCGGAGGAGCAGCGGTCACTGTGGCTTCGACAGCGGGAGGAAGACTGGGTGAGAGGAGCTTCCTGACAGACATCCACACCAAGAGAACGATGGCACAGATGGCAAACGCGGAAAGTGCTTGCGTGGGAGCACTCATTCTCGCGAGGCCGGCAGGATGACTGTCATCCAGGCGAGGAGTCCCCGAGCCGTTGTTCCATCCGGGTAGGGGCGTAGCGGACGTGTTGTCGGGTGTAGAAAAACGTGGGTCCTCCTCTGACGAGTCATCCCGTATCTCCACGTCATTGGAGTTGCGATTGGGAGGCGGAGGTGGCGGAGGCACAGAAGGAGTACCGTCGAGGAGCCGACTGAGCCTGGACTGACTGTCTGATCCCAGTTTCCTCACTCCGGTGAGACAGCGAATATCGGAAGCACCGTTGGCTCTGCACAGTTCCCGCAACCTCCGCGCCTTAGATAGTCGTGTGGCAGCATCCATGTCGGCCGGGAAATCCTTGCCGTGGTCATAGGTGGGGTCGAACACTGAGCCAGGAGGGGGATCAATGAAACGGCCGGGGAGAGGGTTGATGTTGTTGGAATCCCCGAAGACGACGAGGGGGAAGCGATCTGGACTCATTGCAAACAGAGATCCTGTCTCTTCGACAAGCCCGACGTACGCCGAGTCCAGATTGGGAAGACGTTTGTGCTTTGCCGCAGAGGTCAGGTCATCGGAAGAGAGTATTTCTTGTAGACGGGGCTGCGGTTGAAGGAGGACAAAAGGGTTCTCGCGCTTGGGAGCTTGAAGGACGTCAAAGGTAGCGACACTTGGGAACAACGAGTGGGTTTGCATTCACGGAGCAACAGTATGACCACCTACATTGGATGAGGGAAGGCTTGATACCACATGAGTTGTGAGGGGTGGGACGCCTCTGCCGCAGCCGTCTTGTAAGATATTATTTTCCCTGTGGGAAGAGATTGTATGTAGGCATTGTCGAGAGTATGGTGGTAAATGGACTGGAGAACGTGATCCTGATTATTGGGTCCGTAGGTGGAGAATGAGAGCTTCTGGATGTGGGGTCGGCGACCGGATGACTTGGAGGGTGGGGTTTGTATGGTGATGTGATAATCTGCGAGCTATGAGATAGGTGTTTCCGCGGAACTGACCTGTGATATTACCTGTACGTCCGATGAATACCTCTCTCGGTTTCACAGTCTCCTTCGGAGGCGCAGAGTCCTCCAGTTCATCGAGGTCAACATCTTGTGACGTTTCGGATAAATCCTCGAAAGGTTGCCATGGGCATTTGGGGTCGACGGTAGCCTTGATTTTGCCAGTCTCAAGTTCGATCAACAGAAGCGAGGTTTCCTTCGACCCGACAAATAGTCGCCCGTCCTCGTCACCAGCGAAGGAATATGGAGACAAGTCTACGAGCTGTGACATGGAGAAGGGGAGACGCTGCAGGGGGCTGTCGGGAGAGGACATGATATAGATATCCCCGGACTGAGGCTCTATAACGTAGATCTCCCTCCTCGCATCGTCGTCGTCGGTCAAGTCAAGATCTAGTTCGGCGTGTTCTGTGCGCACCAGAGGACCAAATGCAGCCGGTGCAGGTGCGCCAGAGGATGCCATGGACCATAGCGATGCCCCGGAAGTCCTGTTTAGTGCGTGGAGCTTGCCGTCAACGGAGGCGACGAGAACGATGTCCAGCAACTCCAGCTCCTCATTGCCTCCTCCAAACGAGTGCGCATCCCGGACAGCATTGACGTGAGTCGCGAGATCCTTGCCGGTGCTGGACCGAAGAGAGAGGACTTCAGCAAGACATAGCCCAGTGGTGACGAGGAGAGCCGATAATGCAGATATTGGTTTCATTCCATGCGAGGAGAGAAGTAGAGCGAGTGTCCGGGGACAGGGGTGGGGACCTTGGATGCAGTTAACGAAAGCAGACAGCCTGGGATTACGGCCACGACTGTACGTGTTCAGGAGTTAGCCTGTATAACCGATTTACTCCAGCATATACTATTCGCTTGCACCGGCCCAATGGTCTAGTAGTATGATACGCGCTTCGGGATTTACTTCCTCCCGTGATCGGGATGCATGCGCGGGGTCCCGGGTTCAATTCCCGGTTGGGCCCTTTTTATGCGTTCGTACAGCTATCAATCGCTGAACGTTGTTGAATTTATTCGCACAGTTCGCACTCATCTCAAACTCATCTTGAACTTGAAGTTGGAGGGTAACCGTGGGCTCGTTACCTCCTTCTCTCAATGAACCTCCATCGGTTGTTCTCCCCTTGCTTTTCTTCTCTATCTAAGCGTTCAATACGCCTGGCCCGTCGCCACGCACCCCATCTGAGAAGTTGGACGAGCTACCACTCACATGGAACGGCATCTTCCCCCTGAACACGGCTGAAGAAACTGCAGACATCTGTCGGGACATCACATTTCTCTCAACTCTCCTGAAGGAATATCGCCCCACCGTGCCAACGGCCTTGAAGGAACGGCGTGCCTCTCGTTCTGACGCTGACCTGTGGTCCCACCTATCGTATGTTCTCGTTCCAGGGAGTCCTACAGCCTATGGCAACAAAATCGTTGCGGATCGAACCAGAGTCCATCGCCGCGACAATCGTAGCAACAAACGCGAGATCCTAATCGAGGTGGATACGGTCAAACTCGATTCCAAAGTCGCAGAAGAAACGCTCGACAATCCTGATCAAGCGTGGGTAGTTTCGTAGCGTCCCGACTCTCCCTGTCACACCGCGTTCAGTCTACGAGTCTGACGACGCGAATTTCTTCAAGTAACACGTGAACGATGTCATGTCCATCATCTCGTACCTGTTGTCTCCATCTGTAACGGGCGAAGACCAACTGCCCGTCATCTTCAAATTGTTCAATTTCATCGTCATGCGATGCTTTCGCAAGCTCTATGTATGCACGGCTAGAAAGCGGAACCAAGTTGTGGCAAGAACATCCTCTTGAAGCAAAATTCTACGAGGAGTCGGGTACCGATGAGTCGTCCGTGCACGATGGCCAGGACCCATCCTTCTCCTTTCAGTCTACACGTATGGAACTCTTCTCAAAGAGTACTCCCTCCCGTACACTACGTACCAGCAACACAATCCCAGCTCATCTACGAAGTCACGTTCTCTTTCTCCACTGCTCCGGCGTGGGCCAAACTTGCTTCACCACTATGGTGTCCTCGCTCTGTTGGACGATGTCATTCTTAGCAATATGATCGAGCGCCTCTTCCCGAAGAAGCTCGTTCATCAGCTCAACAAGCAATACGCCGACTACATGAAAGCACATACAAAACCAAAGCTAGCCAGTGCGTACCGTTTTGTCACATCGTGGACTCATCACCAGTAGCATTTACCATACAGAGGCTATAACTGATGCAACACCCAGCGACGGTGCAACAATCAGTGGCGGGACAACAACCATCGACGAGCCCGAGGTTGACTGTCAATTTGATGGTACGGTCTATATGCACTTCCTCGACCACGCTTCGCTCGCTCGCCTCTACTATCAACTGATGACTTGCAGGCTAGGGATGAACAGAGTCCACACCATATCCTACGCTATCTTCGGTCCCTCACCATCCTGCTTCGCGCCGTATACGATCTAGGTTTTTCATGCTATAAAGCAGCACCGGTCATCAATTCATAACAGGCGTATTAAGTAGTTGTTGCGCCTATTCCCTTTCCCGCTAAGCCGGAGTACTCGGAGTATCTCGATCGCTTTAGGGAAAGGTTTGCGGGACGATGCGGCAAGAAGTGCAAGGTTGTCGATCAAGCTCTCCGAGGTCTCAAGAAAACGATTTTGAAAGCCGATGTGAGCGTCCATGCCGAAGCCGCGTTGGTGAGCCTTCTCTCTGGCGATCTACAGAGGCTGGAGGTTACCGTCCAACGGAGCCCTCACGCCGGTCTCTAACCTGCTACCCGTACGCCCTTGCCTCCGTCTGAACTGTGTGTTGATTCGAATCGTTCACACAGTCCGAGAATGTCCCGATTGGGATCAGCAAGCGACGCTGCTTCTGCTGCTGGGTGCTGGCTGACCTCCTGGAGCGTATGACTGGCCCCACCGTGGCAAGGAGTAGGGTCGTCCTCCGTGGAACACATGGTACGATCTTTCCCTGGTCACCTCCTCATGACGTGCTTCGCGATGTCTGGCGAACGGAACAATGAGAAAGAAGTTGCTGGGCGTCTTGCACGATGCCGTCCGTACTTCCGCAGTGCAGCCAGGATCTGCCCAGACATCTCCTGCGAAGTCGGAGCATATGGTATACGTGCATAGCAGGCCAGTTGAGGAATATCGGGAGCTGTTTAGAAAGTCTCTTAGGTAACGAAGAACTAAATTCTAGAAGTGGACTTGTAGTTGGCGTCTTAGTGAAAGGAGTCGTAGTAACGTAGGGTCATACTATCTGACGAATACGGAGGTCCGTTGTCATAGTTGCTAGAACCAACGAAGTTACGAATTGTCGAAATTCTACGCTGGCATGATGCGCCATACATATACACAAGTACGCACATGAGTCTGACATCGGCAACGTTGGATTGAAGGCGCTCGGCCCTCGGGACGGATCATGGTAGGCTCTGGTAGCGACCAGAGGTCGGCGCAGGGTCGGCGTTGGTCCAGTTGGTCACTCTCATACCACCATGATCTCCAGGCGGGCTCTATCCTCCCTGCGACGCGCCCCGTACACTCGCGGTCTCTCATCCCGGGCCTCCACGATCTTGCACGCGTTGGACATCCGGACTGAGGCAGAGCTCCCTGGAGTGTACGACGGCGAATGGGCGGGGTCAGGCGAGATCCTGGAGAGTGTATGCCCGACAACGGGTGAGGTCCTCGCCCGCGTGAAAACGGTACGTGCTCTAGAGGCTCGACACGCATGCATAGGGAGGAAGTGGGCGCCCTGAGACTGAAGACACTCGCGAGATGTAGGCCACTCCTGCTGAGCTCCAGCGGGCACTCGACCGCACCAGGGAGGCGTACAAAGTCCTCAGACTCGTTCCTGCACCGAAGCGCGGCGAGATTCTGGGGCAAATACGGGAGGCGCTCGCTGCGAAGGTACGTGCATACAATCTCGGCCCTCGGTCGTGACTGACAGTGCCGCGTGGTGTTCAGAGAGATGACTTGGGTGCACTCATCTCGCTAGAGATGGGCAAGATTCGGACAGAGGGGGAGGGAGAGGTGCAGGAGTTTGTGGACATAGTAAGTCGTTCAGGCAATACTGGCAGACAGAATCTATTTGAACTATGGCGCAGGCCGACTATGCCGTTGGCTTGTCGCGAATGATGAACGGTCGACTAGTTGCATCAGAACGGCCGGGTCATAGCATCCTTGAAGGTACGTGATGCGACCTTCAGCCTTGCTCCATGGACACGTTTATCGACGCGACGACCGTCAGTCCCCAATCCCCTGGGTGTGGTCGCCGTCCTCTCGGCATTCAACTTCCCGGTCGCGGTCTACGGCTGGAACCTCGCATTGTCGCTCGCCGCAGGCAACGCGACGCTCTGGAAGCCCGCACCGAGCACGCCACTCTGCTCCATCGCGGTCACAAAGATCATCTCCGGCGTGCTGGAGAAGAACGGCGTCCCCGGTGCGGTCGCGGGTCTGGTGACCGGCGGCAGGGACATCGGCGAGGCCGTCGTTGAGAGCGCAGACGTCGACATGGTCTCCTTTACTGGCAGCGAGGCCGTCGGCAGGCAGGTCGGGAAGGTCGTCCAGTCCCGCTTCGGCAAGGTCCTGCTCGAGCTCGGCGGGAACAACGGTGCGTCCGCTCGATACCCTCACTCGCGCCCAATGCCATAGCGTGCACGTCGCTCACCGGACACACTCGTTCAGCTGCCGTGGTCATGCCTGACGCGGACCTCGCCATGGCCGTCCCCGCGGTCTTCTTCGGGGCGGTCGGCACCGCCGGCCAGCGTTGCACATCCACGCGGCGGCTATACCTGCACTCGTCGGTAGTCCAGAAGTTCCTTTCTCGCCTCGAGTCGCTCTACCAGTCTGTGCGCCCGGGCGACCCGCTCGACCGCTCGACGCTTCTCGGGCCTCTGCACTCGCGTGCGGCCGTCGGCGTGTACCACAACGCGGTCGACCACTTGCTCAAGACCGGGGCGGAGATCCTCACCGGCGGCGCGCCGTACAAGGACCTGCCCTCCCCGCTCGACGGGGGCAACTTCGTGATGCCGACGATCGCGATCCCGCAGGAGGTGGACGTGAAGGACCGGGTGTGGAGCACGGAGACGTTTGCCCCGGTGTTGAACGTCGGCGTGTTCGACGAGCTCGAACAGGCGATTGAATGGAACAACGGTGTGCCGCAGGTGTGTCTCAACAGCCACTATGACTTGACATCCAAAGACAGGGCCGTTGACGCATCTGTAGGGTCTCAGTAGCAGCCTCTGGACGCGCGACATCCGCAACGTTGGCAAGTGGATCGGTCCTGCCGGTTCGGACGCAGGCATTGTGAATGTGAGCACATCGCTGCATGCACGACAGCTGGTTGACTAAAAGGCCCATAGGTCAACGTTGGTACTAGCGGCGCGGAGATTGGTGCCGCGTTTGGCGGTAACAAGGTACGCTCGTCTCGATCCCCTCCATGTAGCGTTCGTCAACCTCAACCTGTTGTCTGTCAGAGCACCGGCTGGGGCCGCGAGTCCGGTGGGGATGCATGGAAGCAGTACGTGCGCTGGAGCGCATGCACCCTCAACTTCTCGGACGAGGCACCTCTGGCACAGGGTGTAAAGTTCTCGTGAAGGAGGTAGATTCCATCGCATTCCCCCTCCCCGCCGCAGACAATATCCTATGACCGTCGACAGACTTCTTCATGTCTATGAGTGGTGGGGTCATCACATGGAACATTTGTATTATAGCATTCTCCACTCGCACTAGCGCACAACATGTACAGTACCGTTGTCGAATCCTTGGAGACTTGTTGCGGATAGTTAAGGAGGCATCCAATAATGTGCACACAACCATCTGCCACTGCATTATGACTTGACCATATCAAGGCAAGCGAGGAGCGTAATAGAACATGCGTTACAGTATAAGATACAGATGTGCAGCAATGAGTCGTCGTGGATGCGAACAATTCGAAAGTTCCAATGAGAGCAATGGCGGTGAGAGAGAAGAACGACGC